AAGAGTATACAACTTGATTTATATCAATAAAAGAGATAAATAAAAGATTTCCTTTTGAATTAAGTATGGATATTTTAATATAATTTCATGTCTTTTAGACTCACAAATATACCAACCATCTTTCAATATTTCATGAATTATATTTTTTGTGAGTATCTTGATGATTTTCTTGTCTACTATTTAGATGACATTCTAATCTATTCTAAAAATATAAAAAAATATAAACTTCATATTTTTTGTATGAAACAAAAATTTAGAAATGTAAAATTATGTGCTAAGATGGAAAAGTGTGTATTCTACATTGTCCAAGTTGAGTTCTTAGTATACATCATTTTCAACAAAGGCCTAATCATGGATCCAAAGAAAGTCCAGATTATGATAGATTAAAAGATTTTAAAGATAATAAGAGACGTGCAATACTTTTTGAGCCTTGCCAATTACTACTAAATCTTTATCAAGAATTTTTTTCAAATTGCAAATTCACTTATATATTTGACTTGTAAAGACAAACTTGACTGAAATAAAGATGATGAAATATTATTTGATACTTTGAAGAAAAAATTTACTTCTGTACTAATCTTTTATTATGTCAAATTCTCCAAGGCATTTTTTATGGAAACAAATGTATCAAACTTTTCCATGAATGTCATATAATCACAAATAGAAATAGATGAAAAGTTCCATTTAGTAGCTTTTCATTCTAAGAAATTTTCAGTAGCAAAGATCAACTACTAAATTCACAGTAAAGAACTTTTTGCAATTAAGGATTCTTTTCAAGGATAGCATTCCTATCTAAAATTTTCCTCCAATCTAATTATTGTATATACAAATTACAAAAACCTCAAGTATTTTATACCAACACGTATATTTAATTGTTGCCATGCTCATTAGACTGTCATTATTAAGATTTAATTTTAAGATTATATATCAACTTGAAAAACAAGATTTATTAGATGTAGTTTCTTGATGTTGTCATATAATAATATGGCCATTAAATAAAATAAAATAAAATAAATGATTTATTATAAAAGAACCTAGTTAAAAAATTATAGTAAAAAAATATAGATAAAAGATAGGCTAGTAGTAAAATCTTGTAGTATTAGAATTACCTTTTATAAAAATGGTTTTTATTTTTATTTTGTACAATTATAAATAATGCAAAATAAGATATATTAAAAAAATAAAAAATATAAGAATATATAGGTAGAAATTAGGAGTTAATTTTAATAAAAAAATTCTTAATAAATTGAGAATTGATACTTAAAGAGAACTGGTTATTGACTAAGGTCGAAATCAAATTCTTAGATACAAAATTGTGCACTTATGGCAACTCTAAGATTTTTTTATCAATCAAAGTATGGAATTTGAAAGTAGATTAAAGAAGAAATTTTTAAGAGTTAGTTTCATGTCATGTATAATAATATTAAGGTTTTGAGAGATTTTCAAAATTATTAATGCATTTTATAGATTTAGATTTTGTGAAATAAAAATATGTTTATAAATTTGAAAATCTTTTAAATTTTATATTTTTAATTTTGTAATATGTATATAAGTAATAATTTGAAATTTTGTTTTTATAATTATTATAAATATGTGTAAAAAATTTGACATCAATGAAGTTGTTAGATTAAATAGCACAAGAATTTTTGTGGATTATAGTTTTAATTAATAGAAATTTAGAGTCATTTAGGGATTTTTAAATTTGGCAATATTTGCCAATTTTATTGAAGCAAAAATTAGTGAGAGTAATTTAGAATTAAAAATATACATACAATTCAAAATTTGGAGTAATTGAACAATTAAGCAAAGAAGAATCTTTGTTGAAAGATCAATGTTCAAGTTGAAGAAGGAAGGAAGCCAACAATTGAGAGGTTTTGAAAGTTTTTCTTACAATTGATATGTGCAATCTCTAATTTTTTTGTAATTTTTGTTAAATTAAATGTTGCAAAGTTTGCTAATCTTGAATCAAAATCATTGGTTCAAATATTAGTTATTGAGTTTGCAATCTTCTATAGGATTTGTTAAGAATATATTTAAGATTTAGGATTTTATTAAGAATTAATTAGGATTGGTTTAGGATCTAAGATTTGATTTAGAATTTGGTCAAAAATTAAGATTTTAAATTTGATTAGGATTTGTTTAGGATTTAGTTAGGATTTAGGATTTTTTTAAGATTTGATTAAAGTTGGTCTAGGATTTTGGATTTGATAAGGATTTTTTTAGAATTTGGTGAAGGTTTAGGATTTTATGAAGATTTCATTAGAAATGATTTAGAATTCAAAATTTGATTAGAATTTTTTTAAGATTTGGTTAGAATATTAAAAAAATCTAAGATTTGATAAGAATTTAAGATTTATCTAGGATGTACAAGATCTCAACTTGTTGAAAAAATCGAATTTCTAATTTTTAAGTTCTTCTTAGAAATTGATTTGCGTCCTAGAGACTCTTGAAACATTAATATTCAACATCCTTGAAACCACTCACTTGTTGTTGACAATCCAACCAAGTAAAATAAATCCTTTGTCAATATCCATGACAAACAACATCGTATCTCCGTGGTTCATCGACTTAAATACAAGACTTGTTTTATTTCCTTCTACATCAACATCATTAAAGAATTGATATTTCTATAAAGATTTTGGTTGGGCAATGTTGAAGTATGATTCAAAAATGCATTAAAAAGACGATCAAATAAACATTGGAATATAGCAATAAAAGAGCCTAAAGCCAAGATTTGCAAGTGCATTGCAAACAAAGATTCAAAAATTGTATCAATTAGAATAGAAGGCTACTTGAAAATAAATAACTAAGATAGCTAACTTATTTTCAACCACCTCCTCCTTATTTTCTACCAAAATATAAGGTAGGATATTTTTATAAATCATGCATCCTATTTATGGCCAATTTTGACAACTTTCTAGTTGAAAACATGTCTATTCCTTGTTAAGTTTATAGTGTTTCTAATCATAGAAAAGTGTCACAATATGGAGTATATGTGTTCCAATTTAGGTAACAATTGTTAATTGGTTGGGATAGAATTCAAGTTCAACAAAAGCTAGTTGAATTTTGGTTATCTCATCCACATATTAACATTTGTAGGTAGCACGGAAAATAGGTGAAGTTTAATAGCATAGTTAGGTATCACACTTCTTGATTATAAAAAAGAAGGATTCTCGATTTTGTAATCCACCACTCATGGGAATTAGATTGTCCTATTTGTCAAATTTGGATTGACAAGAATCATCACTTGAAACATTAATATAAATTCCATTTTTGGACCAAATTGGATGAAAACACCTAAAATCCTCCTCATTTTTAATTCCCTACAGGAGGATATTTTTCTTTCATTTTTACACTTACTGCTTAAATATGATGAAATGATAAAGTTAGCTGAAATGATTATCTGAAATGGGTCGGCTACCACATTTCACCTATGCAGAATTGCTCATGACATGAGCTCTGGTAGCTGCGACATACTTCTGCCATTGTTGGTCGGAAACGGTTCATGTGTATTAAGTTGTGGTGCATGTTGCAACACATAATAGATTTATGAGAGGATCGCAGTGCGGGGGAGGTGTTGGAACTATTCCGTTCATTCACCTTTATCCTCATCGTATGAACGAACGAACCACTGTCCAGCATAGTGTTCCGTTCATCGGATACTGATCTATATGTATCGTTCTATCTCATAAATCAAACACTCTTATTGAGGGTCCATATGTATGTGTTTATGTATTGCTCCGCTTATATTGCTCTCAGTCAGATACCATCTCCTTCTATCTGGAGCGATTGCAAGGTCGGACCCTTCTATATCATTCTTCGGGTACAAGTCGGATGGATCTCTTGCAACAATATTCTGGCAGCAAGTCTCATCAGGGGCAATCGCCGTCGTTCAGATAGCAGTCAACGAAGAGTGTCACACAATGCACCAGGTCTGATGTTGGGTGTGGACGCCACTGGATGGCGACGCTCTCGAGGAGGAAGTACTCATGCTGCTGGAAGACTTTTCATGTGCCGGAACAAAGTGATCGCCTGGAGCTTATTCGATGATGAGGTCGCCCTCTTGCTGTAGCTTTTCAAGCCCATCGACAAGACCCAGACTGGGTGCCGCCGTAATCGTGGAGCTTAAGAGGGAGAGCTTGATCGATTAGGGACCAAGCTGACGAGAGTAGTAATTAGGGAAAACGGATTTGTGCTAGAACGGGAGGATTCACTTTCAAATTCATGTCGGTGGTTACTGCCAAGTAGTCCGAGAAGGAAAATCATCTGTTTGGGTCTTTCCATCACTTCAATACTGGTTTCAGCTCGTGCAAAGCAGTGTATTTGTTTGTGATGGCCGATGACGATCCGGGATTCGGCAGCGCTCAGGGTATTCTGAGTGGATGCCAACCACGATCGAAAGCTCTATTATGATGAATTCATCGGTTGTGCAGCATGCCCACCGAATCATATTGTACCGACACGGATCTTGTTACAGAAGAGAGGTTGGCCGAAAATTCCACATTCCATTCGCACTCGATGGTCATCATTTCTCATTTCTGTTATTTATATTACTTCCACGTCAGCAAAGCCTCTACAGCAACTGAGTTGGCATACCAATTGAACATGTTGTATGATAATTCCAAGGCCTTCTGAAAAGTAACCCTAAACAGAGATTCCTGTTTCATCAAAGGAATTTCAACATATCCTCGAAGTGAAGAGGGGCGGAATATAGTAGCTACTTCCTGAGAACGACTTCAATACATTCAAAGAATCAAGTATGCAGATTGAAATAAATCTTATACAAAGAAATCAATCCTCGTTAATTGAAATGAAGCATTTTTATTATAAACAAGGTTAGAAAGATGATCGATCGGCACATCACATATTTGCAGCAAGCAGTCAGAGAAACAACCACGCTCACACACGTCCAAGTGCATCCAAAGAACTCGTGCAAATCAACACAGAATATCAGGAAGCAAACAACACCTAACTCACTCTGGCTTTTCACACGAAGGATATACAGCAGATTGCAAATCCACTATTTGATACAGAAAATTGTGAACCATATCCACTGTTGGACCTCATGATGGCTTGTATGCCCATATATTACGCACAACTCGGTTTCTTAATCATCCAGCATAGCTAACACAGGATAGCGAAGAAAAAACACGGATCTAGTGGACAAAACGGGTATTTGAGTACGATCATCGAGCCAAAGGTTTTGATCAGAATCAGGCGGCATCACTGGACAAACTGGCAGCACCATTGAGGCTGATAGAAAAAGGTGCATTTTGCGGTCCATCCATTGCGTAACTCCAGGTTTGTGAAGTTTTACCACACTAGAAATTCCCTAGCCACAAATTAAAGATCCTTCAACCGGGAAGCACTGTGCTCTGTGATCCTACAATATTACAACGGAAATAGGCATTAGTAGAGAACGCAAGGTTGTAAAAAGGACTATCAAAATCTCGTTGCTGTGCGAAAGCATGCTGTATTGCAAGACTCTTGAACATTGAAATGAGCGAATATTTTAAACATTTAGCAAACAAATGGCTAACCGGATTAGTGTATGACTAACTTTGACGTCATAGAATATTGACGTTAAGTAGGTACGAGAAGTCAAAGGGATGCATATTTACTGATGTACATATAAAGAATGCAGGATAAGAAAACAATATTGCCAGCATACCTCAATAAGAAGAAGTAAAAAAAGAAGAATGATAATTAAAGTAAAGCCCCGACATCTGAAACAGTAGTAAATATCCTGATTCAAAAATGCCACAGCTACTTGGCAATATCTTGCGTTTGCCCAATGTAAAGCTGAAATCGACCAAAACTCTTCATGGAAGAAAGAGTGAGGAGCATTTGAGTCACCCTTGACAGAAGATACATAAGAGGCTCGTCAAACCAGTCCGTCCAGTCTTGGCTCAAACGGCAATACGTGGTCGTAATGATACCCAGGGCCATTGGGTAGCCATTGCCAGACTTTCTGGGACAAGTCATACATGAGTGCCCGTGAGCTCAGAAAATAAATAACGCTCCCTAACCCTCGGCATCGGAAATGTGTGGGACGTGTCCACTCTTTACAAAACTCCTCCAAGAGTGCCGGTGGCATGGTCACCACCTCTACCCACTCACCACCAGTTTCTTTCTCCCGAAGCTCCCAGAGCCGAATTGCTTTAGGTTTAGCAAAATGGCTGTCTTCGGATATCCTTCCAACAATCAAAAGAGAGCCTTGGCACTCCACTAGCGAAGGAGGCGCCTGGAAATTCAACAGCATGGCAGACCGGATTTCCTCCCTCCAGGACTGTTGCCCAATGTCATACGCATGAAGAATCAACGTCACAGGCCAACCCCTGGTTGCGGAGAGATTGTAGAAAAGCCCGTTGCAATAAACCAAGCGATGGCTTGTGAAGGAGCCCAAAGCCCTGCCTGTGATTTCCCAAGACCCAGTTGCGGATTCATATACCTCCGTGTTAGACACAAGGTCTTGCCTCGACTGTGTCCCCACGACGACAATTTTGTAATGCCGTGTAACTTTGTCCACCACCATCCCGAGGAGATGCACACGCTTTATGTATAGCATGCTAGGTAAATGTTTCCACTGCGTGGTCAGGGGATTACAAACACAAACAACAGCCAGGCGGTTCGTATATGCCGCAGAACATAGAAGCCCTCCAGCTGACGCCAAGGTGTACATCTTGGAGAGATATTGAGGAACAGGAACAGTGTGCCAGATCCCCAAGGAAGGGCTGTACGCCATCGCCACCATCTCAGAGGGGTGTTTCACATGAATGGAAAACAGCCAGAGTTGCTGAGAGACGACGGTGGACCAGAGCTCAAGAAAAGGATTTGTCTTCAAGAGAGTGTTCCAACGCTTGCACACAGAGCGAAACCGGAAGAAGCTAGGGACTGGGAGACAAGCAAGAGTCCTGTCAATCAAGTCCTCCGGTAGCCCACTCCAGATGCGGTCTTGCAGTGGCATAAGCGCCAGTCGCTCTTCCTCGCGTCGCTTCTTTAGCAAATCCGCCACAATGCGAATGCTAGTGTCGGAGTACAAAGATGCCACATCGATTTGCACAGACAGCGCTTTGTCGCTGAATTCATCCACCACTCGGTTGTTCCATTCCTTGCGTAAGTTGATCATGTCATCGGCAAGAGCCTTGTCTGCCTCGTCCTCGGTAATCATCGCACTCGGAAAGCATGAATTCACTTTCTCCTCTAGCACGGCTGGAGCACACGCCAAACAATCCATATAGTAGTCAAGCTCGGCCTGATTTGTCTTTATAAGCAGATCCAACATGCCACTCTTGTAATCATGGAGGATTGCTCTGGCGCTTCCTGTAGCAGTCGTAAGACTCTGCGGCATGCCGAGGATAATTACAGGCTCAGCTGCCAAATCCTTGGGGAAACTTCTCTCGGTTCGATGCTCACAAAGAATGCGGAGGCATTCTGCCGTTCGAAGGTAGAGTTCGTACTGCTCCCTGAAGTTTACAAGGGTTTCTTCCAAAAGAGCAGACAAAATTGCCAATGGTCTTTCTATCGCATGGTTCACGCCCTGATCAGAACAGCCATCCCTATCGATATCTGATTGCCATACAATAGACTCATTGCAATTACTAAGAATTTCAAGTGCAGAATTTAAGAGAGAGAGAAGCAATATTAGCCATCATTATAGAAGAAATCATATTTTCTTCTGTCAGACTTTACATATACTTCTTTTTGCAGGAATCTCCTGACACTCTGTAAAGAGATGCTGAACAAAGTTTGATTCACGAACATAATTCAATGAATTCAAGTGTCCAAAGGGACGGGCAAAGCAGGGAATCATTCAACTAGCAACATGAAAAAAGACACCCATCACACACATGAATCTCACAAACCTACAACCAAAGCAATAATTACAGGCAAGAGATAAAAAAAACATCCCATGCAGAACAACCTCAACCTCACTAAGTTTTACATCCACAAAGATTAAGACAAAATGAAGGTAGGAGGAGACACCGCTGAGGAAGCGAGGTAATATAACAAGGAAATGCCGCAACCTCAAGACAGACAAGAGGGAAATACAACCACACTGACCATCGAGTTTGTAAGACGGGGACAAAGGATGCGACGTCTCTTCCGACATCATCTCCACATCAAGAAGCTTAGCGGCTGCAGCTGCGGAAGAAGCCAGCGGCCCTGCAACGCTGGAGCTCGACTCGCCCTTCTCCAGCCTAACAATCCTGACCCCTCCTCGCTCACGCTTCTCTGCGAAGTTGTCACCATATCTGGAATCCTTTTTCATGGTGAGCCACTCCTCCGCCCTTACAACCACCGCTTCATGCGACACAATGAGGAAGGGGAGACTGCTTCCCGCCCTGGATCCCATGGCTCCCCACCCTTGCCGTCCTCTTTCACCTCTTGATCCTCCACCCACTGCCTACAACCCGCTTCCCAGCATGAAGTCCTTCCCTCAAAAACTCCTCTCTCCTACGTCCCTGCTCTCATTCTCCTCCATTCTTCAAATCGACACCAGCCCAGTCTTCACTACCGATCATTCCACTGCCCGTCATCCTCAAAAATCCATATCCAATGCCAACCAAATCAAATCACTAACAAACCCCTTCCACGATGCTGCGACAATACTGAATCCCCTTCCCACACAATTAAACCACCACAAGAACTCTTTTCTTCATCTCGTTCATCTGCTTCTCTCGCAACCCAACTCCACCATGGCCATCGACATCGTCAGACACGATCTTGCTAACTCACACAAGACCAACCGGACTGACGGTATGCGAAAAGAACCGAACAGCAACAAAACAAAATGCGTCAGCAGTCTGACATCAAATCCTCTCCCATCGATTACTGGCAGTCCCCGCCAGTGCCACCAACGCACCTCTCACGCTCACTCCACCCCTTGGGTCCACCCTGCCCTGGCATCCAGAAATTTTCCAGTTTGCGATGGCAAGCGTCTCCCTGTCCCTGACGCACATCGTCACCGTGTTTTGGCTCCCTGTGTACAGATTCCTCTTGGTTTGACAGCGTGCCTGAAATTAGCCTTTCCGTAGTCTCACCCAACTCCACAGCGCCAAACAATTTAGCTAGTTCCACCATTCCCATTCCTCGGGCGAGGACTCTCTAAAGTCATATTGGAGTGATTACAGAGCGTGTTAGGGCGGATCCAATTTAGTTTTCACGATTGTGTTTTTTGTGGGTAGCATCCTAATCGCAGGTATTACCTTCATGCACTAAACTAATGCTACCCAGTTGCTTCGCAGATGAGTGGAATGACCGCGGGATGTAGTGAGGGTTGCACGTGATACATTTGATAAGTGAAGCAAACTATAGCGTCTGTGCATTTGTATTTCGAGTTCAACCTATGGGTATAGAATTTCGGCGTGGTAATCAAGGCCGATCTAATTTATCCTTTCACTAAGCATGTTCAACCGAGAGACAAGCAGTATCGAAAGTGATGTGGATTTTACGTCGGAGGTCGTATCGGCAAAAAACGTACACTAGATTCTGGAACGGGCCACACTTGCGCATGTTAGTAATGCAGAGAAATTGTGGCGTTGACACCCGGTTAGTTGATGCTTTATCAAACCGAAGATGAAACAAAACTGCTAATCTAAAAATTATGGCAAATTTAGAGAAAATATGGACCTATGTAAGCATCTTTTAAGGGGGAACCAGTCCAGAGTTGAGAGATTCAAAACAAATCCTGCTGATCCAAGCCATGCGTTTAGACCACTGTAACAAGATGGGCTTTCAACCACAGCGGAATTTTGGAGTAGAATAATAATACTTCAATACAAATCTCTCAGCAGATCCAACTTAGAGCTCAACACTCTGCCAGCGCTTGAAATTATACACGAAAACATGCCTACTGAAAAGAAGAAAAAAAAAACAAAAGCATAATTACGCGCGTATCACATTTCTAATCCTCATCTGAGCAACCTCATTAAATTCTGCGTAAATCCGCAAAAGTCTAAGTATCACAATAAGATAGAAAAGGCATGATTATAACTCCGTGTGCGAGTAATCCACATGCTTATCCAAGAATCTTGACTGTCACCTGAAATTAATGAGTGGCAAGCGACACAAAGAACATGTCCATGAAAGAACTCTTAGCGCAGCATGAAGATTGGTGGACTCAATCGAGAACTAGCTATAAATCAATCTCTACAACATACGACATGACCTCCCAAGGAAAAACAGAATGAAGGAAGAACCCTCAGAGGATCCAGGATAAGGAAAGCAGGGGTATGACTTTCAGGAGAAAGAATGGACAGGGTGTGGCAACCGTTTGCGAGAGGCGAAGGGTACATCGGGGGCACACAGACATTCTTGCGGGTTAGCATAGAAGTAGTCTTCTTCTTTGGGGAATCCTGGATTCTGACGCCTTGTGAAAGGTGTGCCAGTGCGCTCTTCGTGGGCTTCCCTGAGCCCCAAAGAGAACTCGCCCATGGTAATTGTACCGTTCTTTAGTTGATCGATCTGCTCTACAATAGCCTTCCTGTTGAGTAGGATTGTCTTCTTGTAACCCAAGTATCTGCAGAAAAATATGAATAAAAATTAAGAGACAAAATTCGACTTCTGAGTTGACCGGTCACCCAACCCATAATACGGACGAAATCTTGAAAAAGTGTTCATTGATTGAAGATGAAGTTGTACCTTCTATGACCTTCCACAACTTTTGCCATATTGCCATAATAAGTAGGAATGAACACATCGCTAGCTATAGAGACGAAGTAGTCGAGAGCGGCCATTTGGGACGACCGGTTCCTAAAAGGAACCAGCTCAGCGTCTGAAAGCAACTTCTCCTTTCTCACCTACACAGAAAGTCAATAACTTGGTCAAACGCAGTGCAAACAATGTCTCTAGAGGTGCACCTCCTTTCTCAGGGACAGAAGACAGGCCAAGCGAAACTTGTAAGAAGTTTCTGTAAGAAGATGAATAGGATTGGGGAGGTTAGAAGTGTACAATGTTGGGAAAAGCTTCATGAAGTGCAGCCATTCGTTTGCTTCCACCGTAAATATTACCAGCTGCAATGTACAACTGGGTATCCCGTCCATAGCCAAGCCCCTTTAGCACCAAAGTTGTTTCTTCGGGTGTCAGGGGGCACAGACCCATCTTCCGGCTCGCGTCCGAGTCAATGTCCTTAACTTTCCACCAGTTTACAGAGTGCCTACAAAAAATGAGAATCTACCAGGATTAGGATACAAGATACAGCTTTATTCAATGACGGTCAAAAAACCTCACAAAATATGAAGCGAAAAAATCAGAGATGAAACAAACCTCAGGCTTGTGAGTTCCTCAGCTTCTTCCTTGGTGCAGCCTTCGGCACACCCTGAGAACGACAGCATGTCCATTTCATAGCGTAAGTGTAAAACAAGAAATGGGCCCCGCGCGCGAAGCATTTTCACCAATTTCCGGCCCAGTTTTTCAATATTTGAAGTGAATCTTAAGGCGTGGAAGTCCACATAGCAACGCAGTCGTTGAGTCTCTAAAGAGGCAGAATTGACTAGCCTAGTGTCCGTTTTATTGAAATGCACCACAGTGTGCGTTTGGATCAGCGGCAATATCTGCAACATCCTCTCAACTCATTTAAAAAACACATAATATATATGGTATTCAACAGAAAATGATATAAAAATAAGCATTACAAGTGTGACGTAACACGTCAAAACTTACATAGTTCACATAATAAGACTCGTTCGACCAGCTCCCTGGGTGCAGATAATACTTTGTCAACTTCTTATCCTGAATCTTGTCTGTGACAGACTTTGGAAGCTCCTTGATTACACGAACAGAGCTTTTCAACGAGGAAATGAAATGATCCGTATCAAAAATATCCCCAAAATCACTGCAAACAGGCGCGTAGAAGGCACGGAATCAGACTGCAGTAATTCATCTCAAGGCCTCAGTGAAACCAATAAGAATAAACATACATGCTAACACTATGGTAGTCTATCCATCTGTGGATCAAGGCAAAATTGAGCATCACTAAAAGCATTACGCATAGAGGAAGAAGGGGAGTACCTGGGATCTCCCCACAAAGAACTCTTGTCCAGTTCAGGTACAACTAATGTCACATTCATAAGCTTAGCTATTGCAACCATGTCGCAGATCTGTTTCAAGTTCAACAAATAGCAGTCAACAACAAACTAAAATCTTGCAACTTCAGATTCTGAAACCTGAAATGTCAATCCAGATGGATGCCAAATGCTCAAAACCAGTTTAGTCCCCAAAGGCATCATTGAAAAGAAAGTTACTACAGGAAACCGTAACAAAGATTTCTTACCCCAGCTCGCATTTGGTTGAGCCCACCATTGGTTGAAACCTCAAGGTAACCGTTGCTATCAGAAAACCCTGTTGCCCACCATTTAACTCTTCAATGTTCATGAAATTAACTGAAAAAGGAGCTAAACCTCTATGTCCTAACGAATCACAGCATAAAATATTGTCTTAGTCTGGAATGGGAATTGCCGATGCTCATGCTTGCCAGGGACGGAGAAAATTAGACCATCTAAAAGTTATGAGATGCGAAATGAACTTCACCATTTGGACCTCCTGAGTTTGGAGCTGTCACTATACATGAAGGCCAGTTGTTTCGAAGAACCTTTGGTTGCCAAAAATCTCCTAGAGTGGTAAGCTGCACCACGCATGTGCAGAGCAGGATACTTGTACTCAACAAGAGTATCTGCAATGCCAAAAGACGTTGCAAGATTTGAATGATCTTTGCCATGGAAATAATCCAAAAACAAACGTGCGAATGCCAAATTTCAACACTCCAGAACAGTTGCCAGAGCAGTTCACTAAGAAAATAGCAACAATGGCAAGATGCAATAATTTCCACAACAGTTCACTAAATCAAATAGCGAACTTGACCCGCTACTTGGGTTCGCATAATAGTACTCGTATCTCTTTTATCACGTTTTCAGCTAAAATTACTACTGACTTCCAAATTGAGGGGCATTGTGTATACTTAGAAAAGATAAATGAGTGGCTAGAGGACTCCCAATCCATTTTCTGCACTCCAAAAATGTATGTACGTGAATGCTTATTCTCACTGCCAGTCCAAATGTACTAATAACGCAATCTCAAAAGCATTTCAGAACAACGTAACAACCAGTAACTTAGCTGGAGATTAGCTCAAGACGAGCTGCACTGCAGATCTGGCTACCTTAACAAGGCTAGACCATCGCTTTCAAAGGAAATGCGGTTACTAATTGTGAAAAAATCCCAACGCACTACCAATCCCTCATTTTTTGGTCTAGACTAAGGAACCTCCTCTTCACTGTAACTGGAAAACACCGCAACCTTGTGCGCACAGCCCTCGGACACCCAAATGACACCTTTTAGATATTGAGATTGCGAGCATACGCGCATGAAATAAGATCAATTTCAGGCCAGATCATCGGCATTGCAAATTGTCCTTCTTATAGCAAAGCACGTTTGCCTCAAGGCTGGGTTCGTTCAAAAAAGTCTATCGTTTGCATCGTGGCTCTATTAGGGATAGGGTAAGCACTCTAGTTGCATCGTTCATCTCCCAAATCTTAAACAAGACGTCAAGCCCTGCAATCCGTCACTGCAAACTGCCGTGAGATTTCGCTTCATCGTTTTCACATCTCTCAACCAATCCATCCCATCTCATCCCTCTCGAATCGAGCAACCGTCATTCCACTCGTGTATTCCAAATGAGACCCAAATGTAGTGACGCCATCTCGAAACCCACAAACCCAACTTTCCTCCGGCAGGAAGGTTACGCGCATCGTTTGATGAATAACGGCGCGGGTGGGCTATGGCGAACCATACCTTGGACACCGAAGGGCTGAACCGCGTGACTCGACTGACTATGCACTGCGTCTCTTTCCTCCTGCTTGTGGTCACCATTCTTCATTCTGCCCCTCGCATCCACCGACCCCGCCCACAGACAACCAGACCCACGCCCTGGCCACATCCACCCCCCTAAACACTCATCTCACACAATCGCACCAACGCGCCATGAACCATCACGCCCCCGCTCTACCACTGCAGCAGCGCAACCAGTCAACTCAACATTCCTGCAAAGCAAAGGAGCCCGAGCAGCTAACAGACGCGCCTCGAATCACAACGGAGAGCCTGGATCGAGGCAATCCAGATGATGAGGCAGGGCAATACGGCGACGATATGAAAGCAGATGCAGATGCACAGTTGTGCATTGTTGTGGCGTCAGTGATAATGTTTCAGCGGCCAGCTGCAGCCACGATCATCGCCAGCGAGTGCGCGGAGGAGAGGAAGCTTTTAGCCCTGTGCCCGAGGAGAGGAGGGCTCTCTCATCCCCTCCTTCCCTTCCTTCCCTCACTGCCTCGACCTCGGCGTCGGTCTCGATTCCCTGCGCAGCCGTCTGCCCTCGCAGCTTTGCGCCACAAGAGCACTTCGCGGCGTCGTCGCGCAACCACTGATCGATCTAGCCATGGAAGGACAGAAGCATCGAAGCAACGAAGGAAAGAAGAAAAAAAAGCATAAAAAACACAAAAACAAAAACCAAAAAAGCCAGCCAGCCAGCGCCGAGCAGCAATGGGAACCTCCCCCCGCCTCCCGCCTCTAGCCTCTGCCGCGCGTCTGCGTCACGTCAAACGGTGAATTTTAGAGACATCTTTTTGGGTGAAATTCGGTTTTGGGTTCATCCGAAGATTCTCGCATGCTTGCGAGAGGTGGATTCGCGGTTTGTTTGTTTGTGTGGTCACGTGGATCATGCTGACTCAGCTCCCCTGCTCCTTCAAAATCTTACGTGGCAGTTGTTATGGAAGAAGGAACAGTCAAGTTCGTGTTTCCAGAACGTTTCTTTGTCTTCCACTCTGTTTACTTCAATATGTCTTCTCGGCTTGAAGTTGCAATTTTATTTTTTTATTGTTTAAATGGGTCTTCTTTCTCTATTTTTTCTGGTGTATGACTATGTGCTAATGTTGGGGCTTTGTCCTCAAGAGGAGAATTTGATTTGTACCATCTTGAGGTGGTGTGGACATACAGAATTGATTTGGTGGAGCTTATGGGATCCTAGTCGTTTGAATCACTTCACTTGTTGTTGTTTATGTTAGTAAAAGCCTAGGTCTATAACATTAAAAATAAAATATTTGGATTCATTTCTCCACTACTAGATCCAAAACCAATAAAAATCAACCCCATTCATCATGAGTAAAACATAGGTATATTTAACATTCTCCTACATATATATATATATATATATACACACACACACACACACACACTAATTTATTTGAAATTCATATATGTAGATTGAGAAGGAATGCAATTTTATAATATTGGTGCATAAATGTTTTATGATCTTGATTTCAAGAAGATTAATTTGGCAACATGAGCCAACAAAAATATGTGGAAGAAAAAAGAAAAAGTTGGTCAATAACCATCTTTTAGAGAGAGAGAGAGAGGAGAGAGGGAGAGAAGACTCGTTATTATCCTTTGGCCACTTTTAACATCATATCCAACATGGCTTCGGACGGATCTAATCATTTAAATTATCATCCATCAACTGAGATATATATATATATATATATGTATCATTCATCCAACAAGCGCGGAGTCATTACACATGTAGAGCTGTAAAGAAGAAACAAAGGTGCACGGTTCCAAGTATTTATGGCTCTGACACGTGACGTATGCTGTGTGATGGATGAGCACCGAACCCATGAGTTCCACGTTGCATCTTCATTCATCCGTTTGTGGTTCATTCACCTGTTCATTCATCTTCTCCTGTGCTCACGTGTTGGAGGTAGCTTTATCATTTAATTTAATTTTTTGTTTAAAACTAGGATATGCAATTTAAAGGACGGTGGTTAACAATACCACAACAACTCCCCAGTGTTGAAGAAGTGATATGCATTTATTTTATTTTATTTTATATTATCCCCTCCCCTCTTATTTCTTTAAGTTAAACTGCAATGTGAGGTATCACCAACTTGGTAACAAAGTTATTTATTTATTTACTTGTTTAAATAATGTATTCACAAACTTAAAAACCACGACAAGAACTTCCCATCTAGAAAGAAACGCTATAGTTATTCCGAAGTGAACAATCAATAACCTATCGTTTTCGTCACCACTTTTTCTGTGAAATGTAGTTCTTATACTGTTCTTTTTATACGTTTGTGTGATCTATCCAGTTGTGCTTCAAGGTCAAGTTTTCAGTACAAGGCCATATCAATCTGTTCTCACATGTTTAGTCAACCTTATCTGATAACCAAATATAAAACTATAAACTATAACATTATTGCAAAATGATATTGTTAAACATGCTGTCACCTAATCTTTTGTATTGTAATGGAATAAGTGATTGAGCATTAAGGTATTCAAAACTGTTCATATTTAGCATATGTAGCATACTCATCTTCAGGATAATTTAAGTTTTCAAAAGACATCTTTCTTTGACTCGAAGAACAAAATATTTGTCATGCCTTTCACTCACACATTTAAAACAGTGTAATCAAGAATTAATAACAGTTTCATTCCGCACACAAAATAGTCTGCATTGATATTAACTTCATGAGAATTACCTTCTGCTAGTATAAAAATTAAAAAAATCTTCATTTTTTGTGTCGTATTCTTGATTACTTATTATCCTAACCTTTTTCTGTAAAAATAAAATAATATGGTGAGATGATTTAAAAAATTAAATACAAAATATTTGTCTTTGTTACTTAGGTTACCATCTGAATATATCCTTTTACCAGAAAAACAAGCTTCATGAATTAAATCCGAAAAGATTTTGAAAAATTGGAAAGCAATATGTTTTTCACAAATTCTAAATTTCAAATCAATCTAATATCTATTTTTTGAATTTATTGGAAACTTGGTATTAAGTTATTTACTTACTATTTACTAGTTATTTTTATTTTTATTTTTTTCTAAAAAACTTTATAATGCTTATTCTTATATCAAATATGAGTTAATTTAATAATAATATTTAAAATCAAATTACTTTAGATTATATATATATATATATATATATATATATAATTAAAAAAATTGTAAGAGTTCTAGTTGTATTTGAGGCTTTCTAAAATTTAAAAAATAAAATTAACTTCAAAAAAAATGAATAGAAATTTATTCAATAATACTTCATATTTGGAAAGACTCTACATATGTTTGTTGTTTTGTTTTGTTTTGACAAGTTGTCTTAATCCTTACACATTGATATAAGTTTTTAAAAAATATTTATCAAAAAACTTTCACAAGTTGATGTATTGAAGTCTACATTAATCCATTTTATTTTATGAACTTATGCATGTTTAGTATCATAAAATATATCCTCAACTTGATTATTTTATATAACAAAATTTTTTGCATCAACATTGTGAAAATAAACATTGTCCTTGTACTTTGTATTTTAATAAATCTTAAATAGTTATTCTATACTTTTAAATATATATATATATATATATTTTTATAATATTAGATGAAATCATTCTTGCATCTATCTACTGTAGTTCTTGTAAAGTATGGACTCATAATCAATAAAATATACACCATCAATGACAAAATAATTCAATCTTTGTAAATGCCAAAACAACTTGATCGTTTTAACTAATATAAATGTAAATATGTAATTATTACAACATATATTGGATAAACAAAGATCATTACATATAAAAAAATTAGTACAATAAATCAATCATAAAGTTTGTAATCTAGTCCAAATACACATATACAATCAATATACTCTCAAGTGTCTTCTCTATGATAATTTTGTAAGATTTTAGGAAGATGATAAGGAGCACAATACTTTAAATACTTTCAATATGCTTGTCCATCTTTGTCTTTAATCAACAAAATACTATTGGGCAATACATCTTTTATATAAAGAATTATAAGCCTTGTCTTAACATCAAGGATTGTAGACACCTCACATTGTAAATATAAATAATCTTATTTAGAGAATCATTGTAATTGAGGTACTTTAACTCTACTATAAATGCAAGCATATTATCAAGTATCACAATATTGAGTAATAGATAAGTTTTCTATAGTTAAAGTTCTTTTAAAGAACTTTGCTTGATCATGTAGACATTGAACTCAAATATCATGGTTATCTAAGTCTACAAGTGGAACTAACTTCTTAAGTATTGAGTTTGGTAGGATTGACTCCCATCCATACAATAATTAATAAGGATTATAAGTTTCTAGAGATGCATGTCTACAAAAGTAATAATCTATTGCAATCCATGAAAAAATCAAGTCCCGGTCACAATGATTGCTATAAAATAATCCATACTTTTATAAACCACCTTTAATAATTTGAGCAACTTATTTATGAAAAAAATCTATTTAATAATGATTTATAGAGGAGATACAATGGTATATTACAGCTTAAGTTTACAAAGCATCAAAAGCTCCAAAAAAATCCCTTCCTTGATATGTTAAAAATTCAACAAGTGTTCTAAAATATGCCAATATACAATCAAGAAAAACTATAGCTACAAACTTTGAAGAGTTTTGTGGCAATACCACAGATTTAATCCACTTGCTAAAATATCCTACTATCACCAATATGTATTTAGCTCTACATGGAGTATCAATAAGAGATCTAATAAAGTCCAAAGACTAATGGTAGTTCAAACTTATAAAAAATAAAGGCTTCAATTAAGATGATAAAGTATTAAAACTTGATTTAACTTAATCTCATACTTCACATCTAAAAATATATATGGATATTTTTTAATACATGTCAATTTATTGATATTGGTTGTACAACATAAAATGTATTATATGCACTTCAAAAATGTTCAAGCACCTCATGTACTTTTTACACCAAAGAAGCTTTTTAATCTAGCCTTAGAATTATGTACCTTGCTCTATCAAATCATATATAATAATATATATATATATATAATAATTATTTATATTTATATTTATAAAAAAGATAGCTAAAAGAAATATCCTATTTTAAAGCTTAATCAAGTCCGTAAGATCCTCCCATAAATTGCTAATTACTTGAGTCCTATCAAATTTTTCATCTAAATTTTGATCAAATATAATTGTTTTAAAGCCTAATATTAAATCCAAGTATGTGGCAACTTATCATCTTAAAACCTATCTCTTTATTACAATCACCATGCTATTGAACTCCAATCAAGCCTTCTTCCAAAAGACTTAGATTATAAGAAAGTCTATTTGCATCCAAATGTCACGGATATACATATTTATTCTAATATTTATCTATATGATTAAGTAGAAGTAGATGAAAGTAATTTTATTTTATAATATTTTTTATAGATGTTTTTTAGAAGCTTCATAGATGCTACTTTAATTTTACATGTGTTTATAATTGATTGGTAGGTTAGAAACTTGGTCAAAAAATAAACCATATATTAATAGTTTGCGGAATTAGCTAACTATATAGTGACCAAATAAAATACTTGCCTTTCAAGTTAAAATATAGGTCTTGTAAAATCAACAAGTTTTGAAGGTCCTATAA